CGCAATCCCTTCTCTTTCATTCTCCTCATGGGATCTTGGGCACGCACGCACACGCGCCCGGCATGAGTTTTTAGCCACTGGGTCCGGGACGCGAACTGCAATTGACTACATGAGAGTTCAGCGACATAGCCATTATGCTAACTGCTGGTCCCCTATGGAGCTTATCTTAAGAACTCAATGTTTTTCGTTCAATTTCCACTTTATCCAGTATTGATATTGCTTTGTGTTTGAAATTTTCTGGTATTTTCTCTTTCCATTCTTTTACGTTTTCCCTTTTTGAAACATTTTACTTTGTAGTTTAGAAATAAATCTTCACATGTGAACTAGTTCCCTTTATTTTAGAAGTAATCCTTGTCTTTGTGTAAAAAATTAGAACTAAGAAAATCAAAATGGAGGAAAGAAAGGTCACCCCTAATCTCGACACCCATACCTGAACCAATATGCCTGACATTCTGGAATATACCTATCCTGACATACTTTCTAGACATCCCAAGGGAAAATGGTAGAAGCTTTGAGGGGCAAAAGAAAAAATAATAAAAACACTAGTTACAAATGTTAATGCAAAAGACCCAAAAGACTTAAAAATTCACCAAGAATTTTTTTAATTTTTCTCCACAATGTGGACAGCAAGGGCAAGTATATATTACAAACTGTATATAATTAGATTGTGCCTTTTTTCTTCCCCCTTAAGCAATTAAGTCTTTTTCTCTTCTCTCTTAAAAATTCTGTGTGTGTGCACAGGTGTGGAGGTATACAAACCACTCACAATTATAACTAGTATATGAGATCTTACTTCTTCCCTTCTTTCCTGAGTTACATTTTTTGAGAACTTGAATGGGTGACACTCCTTTTATTGGAACTTAATCCTTTTCCCTCTCTAAACTACATTTCTTTTTTTAAAAAAGAATTATTTTCATTTAATTTTATTCACTGTCATTATTTTATTTATTTTTTTGAAGTTGACCAGAGAGAAAGAGAGAGAGAGAGAAGGAAAGTGAGAAAGCGAGCTGCTAAGTTCGGGATTTGAACTATGGTCAGCCATGTGGGAGTCCAGTCGCCTTAACCATCATGCCACCTGCTGGCCCCTCAAAACTATATTTCAATCCAGTTCTATCAGCTTTACAGTCAATGAAAATCTTTACAACAGGCCAATAATTATCACTTCTAGTTTTGAGTTTTCATCTTAGTCTATATTTTCTTTGAATTTATATTGAAAAGTCAGAAGATACTGTATCAGGGTTGCTAGCCAAAAATCAGTTTCTTCCTCCTTAAGGTTCAACTTACAGTGCATAATCTGCAGAAGCCTCTGAATGACCCTGACAGCTACATCAGTAATAGGAGGGGGGTGGTGACAGCAAGAACCGTGCAGTACACTAAGGTGAAGTGGAGTAAGGGGCAGGTGTCCAGGGAGAGCTGGTGCTAACCAGACCCCAGATTCCTAAACCCTCGTGCTCCCAAATGAAGGTCAAATAATGCTTCTTTAAAGTATTCACTCCCCTGACTTGAAATCATATAACAGTTTCAAAACAAAGTTGCCTAGCTAATATTACCTATGAAATATTAGGGTTGCGGGAATTTCAGCAAACAACTGTTAATCTACTCAGCCCTTCTTAGAGTCCAGTATTTACTGTCATCCTTGAAGTTGCTAAGGATATAGCTGCCATTGCATGCCCAGTTTGCCTAAAACAAATTATTATAATTTTCAAAGCTTTTCAACTAATTCCTCAATCTCTCTGAATGTGTCTGCTTCTGCCAGCCCCTAGCTTTTCAATACCTTCCATGCACCCTGCCTCATTTGCCAAACACCGACATACAGAGCTCACAGCTGATCCACAGCTCAGACATCTGGCTCCTAAGAGGCCTAGTGCAATCCTCATCAGTAGGGGTAAGAGCATGTCAGTGAGTATTATCAAACCTAGCCAAATTGTTTACACTTTCAACAATCCATTTTTCATTGGGAGTCTAGATAAAGGCAGAGTGGAATAGGTTGGTCAACACAGAATCCAAACATAACCATTCTAAAATCCCATGGAAAAAATATTTATCTTCACTCATAATTGTTAAATTTCTATTGTGGATGCATGCATTTTCAGAATGAAATGCAGAGTTTCTCATTTCCTATAAGAAAATGAAACCAACAAACCCTGAAATATAGGGGAAAAAAAAAAAACCCTATCGTTTTGTTTTTTATTGTTCTACAGCTCAAGCAATTAATTTCACATTATTAGTGTTCAAAAACCACAGAGGATCCTAAGATGAAAGCTGGAATCAGGGCAAGATAAAGGACTGCAGCTACCTCAGTTTGATTCAAGGGTTTTAAGTCAATCCTCTAGGATTGGAGAGAGTACAATTTAAATTCTGGGAATCTCCTCGGTTGGTTTGCAATCATGAAAAATCCAACAAGCCAAGCTGGCTGGAATGAGGCTGATAGCGGGGCCTCTCTGCAGTAGTTACTGTGTAATGTGAACTACTCCTAGAGGACACAGCATAGTGTAGAGGTACACGTAAATAGATTTGAATACACATCATGTAAGATTTGCGGCTCTCAGCTGGTGACTTGTATTTGTGTCCTCTTTTAATTAACATGGTGGAAAAATATCAAGAGCTTCCTCTGTACTGTCACTCTGGTTTCTTAACAGCTGAAGATGCTTCTTGGTCATCCTGGATGAGGCCTCCATTTATGTTTAAGTTATTCTAAAGCCAAGTATACCCATTTCTTTGGTAATGAACTGACAGTGAAATATTTAGCTGTGGAGTTACATTAGCCCTTCGCTTCTTTCTGTACCTGTCTGTTGAAATCCTCCTCGTTTTCCATCCACATGTATTCTGCAAATGGGTTTTCCTTCTCCTCGTGCCCCTTTAGCCCCTGGTCCTCTATGGATTTTACACTGGGTGATGTATTAGCCACACTGGATACATTCATTATGATAGAACCTAAATAGGAACAAAAGAAAGGATAAAATGACTATAAGAATCAAGGAAATGTAAATGTAAATCTAAAATGCCTAGATTCGTCTAGAAGCTTCTGAAAGAAGCTGAGTCAAAGATTTTTACTATAGATGAACAGAAACTGTTAGCCTGTAACTGTTAGAAAATCAACCATATCCTGCAGTTAACAATTATGCATAATTCTTTTTTTTTTTTTAATAAGAGGTTTCCCCCTTAGGGTACATGTGCTCACCAGAGAGAGAAAGAGCGAGAGAGTGAGAGGGAATCCCTCATGGCAGTCACTTCTCCTCCATTCTCCCCTGTGCATGCATGCATGTATGCTTGGCCATGTGGGAGTCCAGTGACATAACCATTACACCATCTGCTAGCCCCAATTCTGTATAATTCTTTAAGAGTTAAACTTTTTTTCTTTTAGTTTTCTACAGGGCAAGTATGCTCACAGGAGAGAGGGAGTGAGGGGGAGAGAGAGAGAAAACACTCCCCAGGTGAAATGGCATGCTGCAATCCCTTCTTTTCCACTTTCCTCTTGGGATTTTGGGCATGCAAGCAAGCATGCATGCTAGGTGTCTTTCTCAAGCCACTGGGTTTGGGACTCGAACCATGCAGTTGACCATGTGCAATGCAGCTGCCTTAACCACCATGCCACTGGCTGGCTCAAGAGCTAAAATTCTTTTGGGTATAATTTTTTTAAGAGTTAGAAGAAAAAAACGTATTGGCTCAGTCTTTCTAGGAAAGTGTGTCAGGGTGGGTAGGGATGGGGTTAGATGAAATCTTCCCATGCCAAAATTCTGTAGGTCCTAGAACCTAGTCAAGATCATCATGGCTTCCTTCACATTTACATAGGTAGAGAAAGTGCATATTTTTCTTTTAAATTTTGCCACAAAGCACATGTGCTCACCACAGAGAGACAGGGAGTGAAAGCAAGATCCAACCCTCAGGGGGCTTGGTCACACTGTAATCTCTCTGCCATCTCTCCCTCCTGTCGAGATACTGGACATGCATGCACACATGCTGACATTTTTTTCTTGAGTGATTTTTTGCTGTAGGTCATGTGTGCTTGCCAGAGAGACAGAGACAGAGAGACAGAAAGTGAGTAATCACCCTCCCATGGGGGATGGCCACACCCAAATGTGCCCAGTGTGGTTGTTCTCTCAGGATCTCGGACATGCACACACATGTGCCCAGTGTGAGGTTTTTTTTTTTTTTTTAAGAGAGGTTTTTGCTATAGGGCATGTGTACTCGTTGGAGAGACAGAGAGAATCAGAGAGAGAGAAAGCGAGAAAGTACCCCCCAGAAGAATGGCCACACCACAATCCCTTTTCTTCCAATTTCCTCTCGGGATTTTGGGCATGCATGCACAAATGCCTGGTGTGAGTTTTAAGTTGCCGGGTTCAGGATTCGAACTGTGGTCAACTATGTGGGAGTCTAGCAATGTGACCATTATGCCATCTGCTGGTCCTATAGAACTGCATTCTTTTTTTTTTTTCCTTTTTTTGCATTCTTTTTTTTTTTTTCCTTTTTTTTTTTTTTGGAGAGATTTTCACTGTAGGGCGCGTGCGCTCGCCAGACAGAGAGAGACATAGAGACAGAAAGCGAGAAATCACCCCCCAGGGGGGATGGTCACGCCGCAATCCCTTCTCCTCCATTCTCCTCTTGGGATCTTGGGCACGCACGCACACGCGCCCGGCATGAGTTTTAAGTCACCGGGTCCGGAACATGAACCGCGGTCGACTACGTGGGAGTCCAGCGACATAGCCATTATGCTAACTGCTGGTTCCCTAGAACTGCATTCTTAATGAACATTGTGAGCACAGCTCCTTATCCTTATGCTCAAGTTTTGTACTTAATTAGAATGTATTTTAATAGGTAATACATTTTTATTATATTGATAAGCAAAAAGAAGAAAGTAAGTCACCAGCTGTCTGTCTGATCAATGAGAATTAAGAATGATTAACAATGTGGTGCATACAACTGCATGAAATCTCTTTTCTAATGATTTCCTTAGGATAGCTCCTAGAAATGGAACTGATACACAGGAGAGTACTTGTTTAAGGATCTTGATTCATGGTCACATTGCCTTAAGAATTTAAATTTCCAGAACCAGGACGTGGCCCAACAGTAGCATAACTGGTTCCACCAGTTGCAGTCCATGAGCATGCTGGGTAGGTGTGCACACATGCACTCATGGTCTGGGCTGCCTGAGAGAAGGGGGAGATCGTGGCATGAAGGCTCTGTTGGGGGCCTCTTCACATCTCTCTGAATCTCTTCCACTCATGGAAGGATAAATAAAATAAAACCTAAAAAAAAAAAAATTAAATTACCACCAGTAGTGTTTCAGTGCCTGTTCCCCCACATCTGTGTATTAATATTTTAAAAATCACTGCCAATCTAAGAGAAAACTTGCATTTATTGTTCATATTTCTTTAATTTTTTATTGTGGTTAAATATTTTGAGATGTGTTTACTGGCCATTTATATTTCTTTTTTTCTATTTTTTGCTATAGGGCAAGTGTGATTGCCAGAAAGACAGAGAGAGAGAGAGACAGAGATAGAAAGTGAGAAATCACCACCCAGGGAGGATGGCCACACCACAATCCCTTCTCCTCCATTCTCCTCTCGGGATCTTGGGCATGCACGCCACACACGTCCAGCGTGATTTAAAGCAACGGGGTATGGGACTTGAACTGCTGTTGACTACATGGGAGTCCAGTGACATAGCCATTACGCCAACTGCTGGTCCCAGCCACTTATGTTTCTTATTTTACAATTTTTCTGTCTATTTTTCTATTGGGGTACATATCTTATCATTTGTAGAAACTTTTATTATACCTGTCATAATTTTCATTTTTAAATAAAATAATAAATAAAAATGTATAACTAAAATAAATGTTTATTATATTCACTTAATATTTTTTGGTGACAATTTTTGCTGGTCTTAATTTTTGCCAACAGTTTGTGTGGTCTGTCGCTTTTTAAAGTATGTATGTACTTGGGACCAGCAGTTGGCATAATGGTTATGTCTCTAGATTCCCAAGTAGTCAACCGTGGTTTGAGTCCCGGACCTGGTGGCTTAAACTCACGCCGAGTACATGCCCAAGATTCCAAGAGGAGAATGGAGGAGAAGGGATTGCAGCGTGGCCATCCCTCCTGGGGTGTGTATGATATCTCTCTGTCTCTGTCTTTCTGGAGAGCACACACACCCTATGGCAAAAATCTATAAAAAAAAAAAAGTACATATGTAGTAGGCCAGTTGGTCGTGTGGTTAAGGTAACTATATCTCACACGGCCAACTGCGTGGTTCAAGTCTTGACCTGGTCACTTGAGAAACATGCCAGGAGTGTGTGTGTGTGTGTGTGCCCAAAATTCTGAGAGGAGAATGGAGAAGGCATTGCTGACCCTCCCCACAAAGAGTGCTTTCTCACTTTCCCCTTCTCTCTTTCTCTGGTGTATACACACACCCTATAACAAAATTGGGGGACAAAGATACATAAGTGCTCAAAAATTTGCTTACCTTTGGCTCTAAATTAATTTTAACTTTTTCACTATCATTTGGCATATGTCTTTTTTATGTTTTTTATCTAAATCTTAACCATTCTTCAAAAACCATTACAGTCTTGGGACCAGCAGTTAGTGTAATGGCTATGTCACTGGACTCCCACGTAGTCGACCGTGGTTCGAGTCCCGGACCCAGTGGCTTAAACTCACACCGGGTGCATGTGCGTGCGTGCCCAAGATCCCAAGAGGAGAATGGAGGAAAAGGGATTGCGGCGTGACCATCCCCCCTGGGGGGTGATTTCTCGCTTTCTGTCTCTTTGTCTCTCTCTGTCTGTCTGGTGAGCGCACGCGCCCTAGAGCCAAAAGAAACCTCTCTTCTCTAAGCTATCGTATCTAATGATGACAGTGTTAATACTTAATTGCTCTGTTTCATGTGCATATTTTTTTCTTTTCAGTTAGAATCTCAGTTTTTAAAAAGGCAAGATTGAGGTTTATGCATTTTGTATCTCACCACAATATTAGAAATTCCCTAATACCATATCTTAATTGTGTTAAGGCAACTTTCCCTCACCATCCCACTTCTGACACCCTTTGGGGCTTCTTTACAATTTCTTTGAATAAATGATTTCCCACTTATTTCCAACTTGGCAACACTTACGAACAAGCTCTTTTCTGCTTCTGGGTAAAAAACACTAAAATATTCTTGTTGTATCCTCTTTAAAATTTTTATAATTTCTGGAACTAGCAGATGGCATAATGCCTAGGCCGCTGGACTCCCATGCAGTCAACCACAGTCTGAGTCCCAGACCTGATGGCTTAAACTCATGCCAGGCACGTGTGCATGCGTACCCAAGATCCCGAGAGGAGAATGGAGAAGAAGGGATTGCAGCGTGGCATCCCCCCCTGGGGTGTGATTGCTCGCTTTCTGTTTCTGTCTTTCTATCTCTGTCTTTCTGGTGAGCACATGTGCCCTATAGCAAAAAAACCTCTGCAAAAATGTTTTTTTATAATTTCCTAACTTGTTACAAACATGAGAAATCTAATCTTCTAAAATGACAAGAAAGAAGTGTGAAGAGTAAAGATTATATGGAAGAACAACTAATTGATAGCCCTTAAAGAATTTAATTTACAACAGAAATCATTTAATTCTCCACAGTAGGTTTAAATAGAGCACCTTTTGTGAAATGCATGTTTAACATATTTTAGATAGAGACAAAAGAAATCAATGTCTTTTCTAAATATGGATCCATAAGACTATGGAAGGGAGAACACCAGTTATTTTTAACCACTTCTACTTACAGCATAACAGTGACAGAAGTAAAACTGCTCTAAAAGTCAGAGCACCTATATATGCAGTGGGGTATTCCTACATACAGGGTTTTTTATTTTTTCCCCCTAAATTGCCAGAGGACACATGCACTTGCCATAGAAAGATAGGGAGACAGAGAGAGAGGGAGAAAGAGAAAGTAATCTCCCTCATGGTGCACAGTC